GGAGCCCAAGAGCGCCAAGGGGTTAGGGGTAGGGGACCCACACGCCCTGCTCCTGCCTTGGCCATCTGCCCTGGACCTTCTCGGCTTCAACCACGGGATGGACTTCTTAAGAGAATACGTAGCGTATACAGCACGATACAATATGCATCAACCGATCAACTGCGTCTGGCCCGCAAGTGAATCACACGCTTCCTTTGGGAAGGGCAGGATCCAGTCTCAGTTGCAACAGATTCATTACCGAAAGTTAAAGGCTGTTAAAGGCTGGACTTACCAGTCATCAAGACTGAGCCATCAGAGACAGAGCATAAATGACATGCCATCTCTCCCACCCCCACCCCCCCGCCGGAGAGACACACCTTCAGGCAGTGGCGGGGCAAGGATTGAAGCCCACATGTGCCACTTTGGGAAAGGGGGCAAGTGCCAATTTTCCACCCCCAAGACTCTCAAGCAGCAGCACAGACCCCTAGAAAGGTCACAAGATGGGAGCAAAACAATGGGACACCCCCAAGCTTGGCAGTGGCCGGGGCCCTCGTCCAATTCTGGGAAACAGGTATGGCAAGTGTGTGTGTGTGTGTGTCTTTTGGAGTGGGGGCTGCTCTTGATGACAGACTCCCTCCCCCCTTCCTCCTCTCAGGGAACTCACGAGGATGGATGCCCATCAGGGCAAGAGGCAGGGACCAGCAACACAGGGTTGACTTGTGCCGCCTCTGGCTAAAAAGCCTTCACACAACCTTGGTACCATCAGGGTTGGCACAGAAGGCCAGGCTGCTCTGCACATGGGCAGGGGGCCACAGGAGAGAGAGCCCCAGACCCTTCAGGCACCCGCCTGCCCAAACGACACGCAAGCCCCCGGCAGGTGCCTGCCTGCACACGCCGGACTTCAGCAGGAGCCTCAGGGAAGGAGTGGTCCGGCGAGGGCGAGGGGAGGTCTCGCCTCCGGCACCATCGGCCGCCAAGTCTCTCTCCGCTTCACACCCGTGGGTTCTGGGACTTGTAGGCCAGGATTTCGGCTGCCAGCTGCTGCGGATCCAAGAGCTGAGGGAAGCGGTTCATGACGGCATCCACCAGATTCGGGTGGAAGATCCCACACAGGCGGACGCGGACGTTGGCGCGCTCCTCGGCAAAGCGGTCCGGCTTGGACCAGTGGCAGGACGAGGGGGATGAGGAGGAGGAGGGGGAGGCGTCGTAAGGCAGGAGGAGGAGGAGGAGGAGGAGGCGTCGTAAGGTGGCTGTGGGGCTCTCGGCAGGTCCCTGGGCGGCCCTGGCGCAGGCCCAGCGTGGTAGGGCTCGGACCAGAACTTCTGCCCGGGGTCCAGGCGAGCGTCGGCTGGGAGGCCGTAGCCTGGGAAGGAGCGAGGAGCCGCTCTGCCCGGGGGCAGGTCTGGACTATATGCCGGGAAGCCAAGGCCAGAGGCCGAGGGGGGCTTGGGGTACCCCTGCGGTGGGAACCGAAGGTAGCCCTTGGAATCCAGGCCGGGGGGCATCGGGTAGGCCAGGCCTGGGCTGCCCCCCCTGCCCAGGGGCTCCGGGTGCGGGTGACGTCCGTGGCTGGGCCACATCTCCACCAGCTGGCTCTCGAGGGAGCCGAGGCCGGAGTCGAGCTGCTCTTGGCTTTAGGGCCAGGGCTTTTCTTCTCAGCCAAGGCCTTGTGGAGGGGAAGCTTCTCCCCCTCGGGGGCCACACAGCCCAGGAATTCCCCCTGGGAAGGCCGCCGGCCGGACCGCTCCTCTTTGGGGACCGGGGCGCCCCGGGTGGGCGAGAGCCTGGCGCTGGCCCGGAGCTCGTCGGNTCACCGTAGGGGCAGTGCTGCGCCTTGTGCTCAGGAGCCAGCGGCTTCTTTCGGAGGAAGTTGTCCAAGCTGGGCCCATGGCGCCCGAGGGGGTCATCGGGAGGCATGAACCTGAAGGAAACGGGCCTCGGGGACCATCAGGACGCCACCTGGTCCTCCCGGATCCCACCCCCTCCAACAGAAACCCCCCTCCCCACAGACACCGCAGAGCCACAAGGAGGCCCAGGGTCTGTGCAGCCCCCCCCGCCACCTCCGGCTCCCGTTTGGGAAAGCCAGAACCGACGTACTTGTCGTTAACGAACGAATACATCAGCAAGCGCTCTTCGATGAACTTCTTCCACTCGGGCCGCTCGGACTGCAGGTCCCGGTAGGTGTCGTTGGAGACGACAATGCCGTCGGACTCACAGGCCAACTTCACGATGAAGCGGTCGTCGTAGCAGACCACCCTCTTGCCCCCCACCCTCCGAGAGGGTGTGAACACAACGATCTTCCGCTTCTCAAGGTCCCGGAGAATGTGCTGGTCTGTCGGGAAGAGGCGCCAAGG